CACCCCCATTCCTCCGTGTCCGTGCACCGTGAGGACGCTTAGCCTCACCTGGCACACAAGTGCCAACTAGTTGTACCCTCTTCTGCTCCTTGTTCGCCCCCATCCAATCCGGCTCGGGCTGTAACCCAGCAGTCACGTCCCCACCCTCCATTTCGCCGGTGCACAGACACAGAGGAATGGGGGTGTGAGTGTCAATGCAATCCCTTTCCAAAAATATTGCAATGGTTTTTTTCTCTCTCTTCATGTAATGATACATTATTATGATGAAGATATTTAGCATGTCAGTTCATCTGTTGATTAATTGGAAACTTGAGATTTTTGAATTATCTGAAAAGAAATACAGCTATTCCTTGACTTTCAACCATCCATTGAGCAACCATCTGAAGTTACAATGGTACTGAAAAGAGTGACTTACAACTAGCCCTTATTTCAGTAAGTGTAGCTTTTCACTGTCAAGTATGTAAATGCACATTCTAAAAAAAAGAGAGAGAGACCAATTTAACATATGATTGAAAGAACAAAGGGTCTCTGTGTGTGTTTTGAGGGTGGTAAGGGATACAAAAATCTCTAGGTTATATTGCTGAGAGCCTTCTGGCAATGTTTGATCTATTTGTATCACTGAATGGATTTGCTGTTAGGGTTGTACACTTTTTTGCTTGCATAGTGTTGTTTTATTCTGATATTATGAGCCACCCAGACTTGATTGGACTTGGGCAGTGCCTAAGTAGAAGAGAAAAAATAAATACATTTAATGCAGCGATATATGCTAATCTAAAAAATACACACAAAGCGAAAAGGGAAGCCAAGACGGTCTGCAGATCAGTTAGGGATTAAAACATGAGAAGAGTAGCTTTTCTCATTATTGAAAGATAAGATGTATCATATTTACCAATAGGAAGAGGAGTTCTCCCCCCATCCTGATAATTACCTGAGACTTAAAGAGGTAATCCTGTGTGGCTAAGAAGAATAAAATACACTGTGGGCTGCTGAAAGACATCAGCGTTTTTGAAGATTAGCTGTGCATGATGAATTTTAACATTTTTTTCCTAACTCCTAAACTTGGTTTTCCTTACTTTTCTTTCCTTCTCTGTTCTGCTATCTCTTCTTCCTCTTTTTCTCCCCTTCTTCTTCTAGTGCAGTTATCCCTCTTCCTATCTCTTTTATTAGTCCCCCCCATCTTTTTTGTTGTTTCTGCTGAAAGAAGGAAAGGGAATGTGATGATATATCTCTGTGTTTTTTGGTGTGAAAGTGAATCTGTGAATCAGAATGGTTAGAGTACACTGGGTAAACAATTCTATAAATGGGATAAATAGAGTATCTTATATAACTCATGGCTGCTGACAGGCAGGTATGTGAGTGTGTGACATGGACATATTTATTGCTGGGGAAAAATTTATTTCAGCAACCTTGACAAGATAAAATGTTGTAACTAGCTATATTTTCTTCTATCTCACATTTAGGGAGGAATCATCTTAAATAAAGGTTTATCTTTCTTTGGGGTAAATATGTCTACTTCAGGGGTGTCAACTGCCAGCCCAAGGGCCAGTTGCATCATACGGAGGCCGCGCCCACCCCAGCTCCAGCAATGCAAAAAAGTCGCGATATGTCGTGACATATCATGTGACGTGGCAAGTTTGACACCTGTGGTCTACTTCATAACTTTTAAAAGTGTAGCAAGTCATTATCCTCTAATTATACCTATGTGTGAGATCATGTTCTATTTTTAATTCAAGCAGAATTTCAACTTTCTTTCTTCAAAATAGAAACCATTTCATTTTTCCCCTGAATATTAAAAAAGTAATATTGGATGGAGTTACCAAAATATCTTAAATATGTCTTCTTTCTGTTAAACCCTGATATTTCTTTCTGCATGAATTTATTTAGTGGCTTGAACCAATAAGGCCAAATTAAAAACTAATTGGGGCCATAATCCTTATTATGTTGATTTCACTATAGGCAAAAACTACTTCAATTGCTGAATCCATTAAGGAAAATTTATTGTGTTTAGAATACAATTTATTGTGTTTGGAATTAGACACAAATGATTAACAATGAAAAATTTAATAGAAGGATAAATTGTTAATAACTGGTTCTCAAACTTCTGAAATCTTAGTTTTTCTTTTTCTTTTTCATGTTACATGCAGCATGAAGACTAAACAGAATTTAACATTTGGAACATCTGTTGCATATCCCCAAAAGCACAAATTGGTGTGATCAAATACAAACCTCTTCAACATCATTATCTAAAGCTATGATATGCAGTGGAGATGTCAAGTTCTGGTTATCAGAAATAGTTGTACCAACAGGGGAAGATTCTGAAATAAAGCCTTCATATGTTGATTTGGTGAAGAAAGGTTTCTGATTGTTTTCATCTAAAACTTCAATATGCAGATTAGCAAAGGCTGGAAGAGGATGACCATTGTCTTGTTCAGCCTGCAAAAGCAAAAAGTTAATATATTATAAATTCCTGCTGCCATTTTTAACATTAATTGGTTTTAATTTTGTATTTTAGGGTGGAGATACTTTTTACTGACATATTTGTATTTCTTTCTAATTGCAGCTGGATTATGTAGCAAAGTTAGATGCCAGCAATTCATCACACATTGCTGTAATGAATAACTAGAAGCATGTCACAAACTATATAGACTATTTTTTTCCCCGAAATGAAAGTCTCTCATTAACTCATAAAAATAAACCTATTACACCCGGAACAGTCATATTAAAACTACACTACAAATGTATCACAAAACTACAAGGCGCATTAGGAAATATGTAGGTAAGTCTGCACCCAAGTGAAGGTTTTCCCTGGTCTGTGGAAGTGAATTTTTTTTTTAAAGGCAGGATAAAAAGACTACTAATTCTTTTGAACTTTGACATTGAAAAACTCCTGAGAATACAATCAATAGCCAATAAAACAAACAAATAGTTCATCGAACAAATCAACTCAGAGTTCTCACTTAATGCATGAATGATCAAGCTTAAAATATCATATTTTGGACAGATTACGCAAAGAATTATCTCTCTTTAGATATTCATAAGGCTGGGAAAAGTGGAAGCAGAAAGAAGAGGATGATTAAGAAGAGACTAGACATTTACCTGTCTGAGATGGTATAGGTTCTCCTGCTGAGCAGGGGGCTGAACTAGAAGACCTCAACGTCCCTTCCTATTCTATTCTATTCTATTCTATTCTATTCTATTCTATTCTATTCTATTCTATTCTATTCTATTTGCAACAAAATGGACAGACTCGGTTATAGTGATTATTGGTGCACCATTGGAAGACCTGAAGGACAAGAGTGGGAAGACATCTTTTGGGGGGGAAATCTGTGTGGTCACTAACAATCAACAAATCACACTAGGTAACATAATTTTTGTTCCTGTCTCTAAGTTTTATATCCTTATGTCTAAAACCTATGCAAAAATGGCTATATTCATCACAAACTTTGATTTAGTGACCATAGCCTACAAAAGTTTCACATTTCTGCAGACAAAACAGGGAATTTTTTATCTTTTTAAGCAGCTAGAGAAAATAGCTATTTTCTATTTATTTTAGGCATAAGGGATTAGGAAAACACATTTTTTACCCAGGAACAAAAACTAATTGAAATTTGTTACGTAATTTGATGGTACATATGCCTTATCAATGAATCGGATAAATTTGTGTGGATGAATTTGGATGTTTAAACTTTTTAATTTAAAAGTTCTCATTCCATTAATTACAAGTGTATTTTTTAAAAAACACATTTGGGAATAAAGATTATCAGAAGCCAGACAAAACTAAGCATTTCTAAAAAAGGGAATTTTATATATTTGCTCAAGTTTTTGTTTTGTTCATAAGTAAACAACTGATTTTTTCCCCTGGATAACAGTTTTCAAAAATATCAAAGCAATAATAAAAGCCAGTTGCTCTGTTCTTTAAAGCCAGCATTTTTTTCCCTGGTAGAAAAGGAACACCATTTCCTTTGATAATATATGTTCAGATATAAAAGATGCAATTGCAGCAAAAATTAGTTCCAAAGTCCAGAGCTTTAGATCAACTATTATTCTGCCTTTTGCTTGAAAGTGAATGAATAAATCTATTCAGAAGGGATCAGTGTAAGAATTAGAACTTACAAAGAAGATTCTGAATGTGAATATTTGGTCCTCCTACATTTTTTCCAAGGTAACATATGTCTCAGTTTTATAAATGAGGTATCAATAAAATAAATATTTTTGAGGGGTGTTGGAATCTGAAACTACTCCTCACTTATTTTTGAAAGTATTCAATAGAGCACAGGTAGCAATAGCAATAGCAATGGCATTTAGGCTTATATACCACTTTCCAGCACTCTCTGGTTGGTTTACAATATAAGCTTTATTTGCATATTTCACCCTACAATCTGGGTCCTCATTTTACCAATGGAAGGCTGAGTCAACCTTGACCCCATCAGGATCAAACTTCAGGTTGTGAGCAGAGTTTGCCTGTAATATCGCACTTTGACCATTGCTTCACCAGGGATAGAACCAAGGGATTTGGCAATTTTGTCCAGAGATTAAACATTCCAAGCTGAGATAAATGGCAGCTAGGAAAATCCAGTTCCACAAAAAATGTCAATGTCCTGGAGGTCACTTGGCCATTTTGGGAAGTGCTAGAAAACAGGGGGAAACATCTCTGCAAAGGAACTGGCACTGCCAGTTACATACCGTACTTTTTCATATTTGTTTCCTAAATGAATTTACCATCTTTCCTATTTCACTTGGTAGGTTTTTTTTAACTAGATTAAGAAAGGAAAAAATAATCTTTGGATTAGTAGAATGTCCAATCCATGCAGAAAACTGATGAGAAGATTTAGTATCTAGACACCTCTAGGGTTAGTTTGGCTACCATTGTAGGAATACAGAATAGCAATAAGACAATGATGGTTCTAATGCTGCAAGGAATTCTGACAGATTAGCCTTTTGGGGAATAATGGTTCTGTGATGGATAATGGGTGGCTGGACATGTTGAATACTGTGAGCATCTTAAGCAACTTTATATCCAAAAATGCTATGGAATTCCTGGAAACTTGGCACTCAGACAAATCAGTGACCAATATACATATAGAGATAAATTATATTTACATACCATTCAAAAGATACAGAGAAGCTACAAAAGAAACAAAAAGACCAGAAGACATCCTCTCCAGCAGCTAATACCAAGATAAGCAGGGCATAACACCAGAAAAACAATCAAGAAAAAGGAATACCCAAATCAAAGAATGACCAGGGAGGCTCACCAACACCAGCAGAGCAAGCTACTGTATAGAAACAGGGAACGACCTCCATAATCACTAGCACGAATGAAGTTACCTAGTTGGGTAAATGAATTGTCTGCAAACTCAGAGAACCTCAGGAATCCAGTAATATATTTGTTAGTTTCCTTCACTGTAAATTAATATGCCAGGCTTGTTGAGATAATTCAGGTGGCTTGAAATATATAGCACATTACTTTAATAAACCTGTAGCTAACTAGCAATTCCTAGTTAATCCTTTATGGCAAAACTGGCTAGTGCTTGAGAGATCAAAAGAAATTCCAAAATGGTAGGTGAAATGGAAAAGCTGAAAAAAAGGGTCCTGGAGCAAGTTAATGGCAAATTACTTCAGATTATTGATATAAAAACTAGATGGTTCAGCCATGTAATCACCAGAAATTGAACTGAACTCAAGGAAAGCTTTTCTATTTAGACTCGGATTAAGAAAAATGTTATGAATAGTTGCTAATGTTTCAAACATCATAAAGTATCTACTTCAGTGATCACGGCGCCGGCAGACGTGAGAAGAGAACCTCTCTCTGCCATCCGGTTTTCCTTTGTCGGAAGACCCTGAAAAGGATCGAAAGTCACCCTGGAGGGGCGACCACCGTGAGGAGGATCCTTGACAGATCACAGAAGGGCAGCAGCCCTTCCGTTTGATCTAAGGCAGCTCCTTTGGACCAACGAAGAAAAGATCGGCCATTAACATGGTCAATCACTAAGCCGTACCAGCCAAAAGCCAAAAGCACTACCAAGCACAACGAAAGCACCGTGGAGGAATTGGGTGAGACCTTACCTTACCTTTCTTGTAACCCAACTATCTTCCTGTAAAAGCCTTTGGAAATTTCGCCCCCCCCCCCTCTTAAATTGGTGGTTTCTGCCTACCCTGGGAATATAAAGCTTTGGGGGGGGAAAAGAACAACTAAACTAAACAACTAAATAATTGGACTTGCACCTTTTGGATATATGGTGTCCCAAAAAGTTCCTATTTCTACGGGGACCTATTACCTTACCTATCTGCTAAGTTGAAAAAAAAAGAACATTTTTAAAAAACTGGATAAAAGCCTAACTTGAGTTTGGAAAAAGACTTTACATGCTACCGGGGACATCTTGTGGCAAAACTGGGTATAGCAAGTGAATTTCTTTTTGACTGGGAGACCTGTGAGACTAAGATTTGTCCTTGGCACTATCAAAAAAGATAAGAATTTGAAACAGCTGGGTGGTGAAAACAATTCTTTATAGTGGAGGTGGACATTTACTGACTTTTCTCAAAAATAGCCTCCAGTAAAGGACTATCTATAAACACCATAGAAATGGAGGAATACTACCCACAATGTAACTACAAACTTATACTTGAAAAAATCCTTGAGGCTACTGAGCTAATAAATTCCAGATTGAAAGATAAAGGCTTCACCTTAAAGTTACAAAATGCAGCCCAGATTTCAACTGATGAACTTACAATCCAAAATGCAACAGAAAAGGAAGAAATTAACATCAAAGTGGACTTTAAAGAATACCAGGTACAACCTACTGAAAACCCTGATAGCCAAACCTTGATCTTAACTAAAAAATCTGCAATTCAAAAAGCAACAGAAACTGAAGAAAGCAATAGTAAGATGGAAGGTGCTGAAGACCAACATGTACAGCACATTGAGAACCTAGACAACGCAGACAACCAAACAACAATTACAGCATTGAACATGACTTTTTACTTAAATCAGCTGAAACCAGAAGAAGAAGAAGACCAGATGAACTGATGACAAATATACTAAGCCAAACATGGAGATTTGAATTATTAGGCCAAAAATCCAATGATTATGAAGGGGCCAGCTCCCTTGAAAAATTGATAACTGGATGATCTCCCTTGATTCAAATAACATGTGTAGGAATGAAGGGAGATCCACCTGAGGATTTAAAGACACGGCTATGGAAGCCTGCTTGGCACAAAAAGAAAGCTAGAGTTAGACTTAAAAATGTGTTTTTTTAATGTGACCTATAATGGAAGAGCCTAAAATCTCATTTAATGGGCTAAGGAGATTTTAAAAGATACTAACTGATTTAATATTTAGGATTTAGACCTATGAGGGAAATAAAAAATAGTCACTAGAATAATAGTTTTGAATTATAATAGAGAAGTTGGATTGAGACGATAAAGGTTATTTTATTAGTAAGTGATGAGGTACTAGGATGAGAAATAGAATATGTTTGTGAAATAAAGTAAGAATTTATTTGAGTAAATAATAAGTGTATTTTAGATATGACAACTATTTTGTAATGACCTAAGGGAACTTTGGCTTACCCGAAATTTAAATACTATGGATATTAAGCTAACTGGAATACTGTAATTGAAATTAGGTAAAATTTAAAAACAGGACATGGATACGTATAAGTTAAAATATATTGATAAATGTCTTAAGCGATTGAGTTATAACTAGCAATGTATTAATTTGAATGTGATATAATAACCAAAGGAAATAGAGAGGAAAATTTTGATGATGTAACCTGACATATGTATGAAAGAGCTTGTTATTGGATTATGGATTACCCAATCACCATGTTGCTTCTTTAATACTTGGATTTTTGTAAAACTGTAAAATTAATAAAACTTGTTTAAAAAAAATAAAGTATCTACTTCTTTCAGGCTAGTGCTGAGATAGGTAGACGAGAGGCAGTCTAAGTAAACACATACTTTATCTTCCTCTGGCCTTAAGGATTTCCTAAGAACTTTACCTTGACTTTTTCTGAGACATAGAGAAGGTGAAAATACTTGATTAGTGACTCTGAAAGAAAAGCAGTCTAATCTTGAATTATCCCCAAGGGAAAGTGATGTAGTTCTTGCATAGTAAGCATGCTTTCTTAATCTTGTTAACTATTTTTGCACCCCTGAATATGCAAAAAATGAGATTTTAGAGCAAAATATTGACAGGGAGAGAGATGTTTTAATCTCCCTCAGATGAAAAGATAAAGAACAAACACATTACAAATGGGAGAGGATAGTCTTTCTAGTGATAACTTCAAGATGGATAATAATGGAGAAGTGTTGATAACCGGTACTAGATTCATACATGCTAAGCCATCATGTTGCTTGTTTGATTTTGATTTTGGCTCTGATGAAATGTGAACCCAAATATTCTTTAAAAAAAACCTTAAAGGTTGGTCTTAATGGTGTTATTTTACATAATTGCAAGCTGCCCAGGGTAGTTGTAGAATCAGGAGGACTTGAAAGTGAAATATTAAATTAAAATTTAATTGAGCTCAATGTAACAAGTATTAATTTAATCCTATTTTTTGTAAGATATTTTAAATTCTACCTTTCACAAGACACACTTGAAACACAGCTTAAAAATTATGATTTAAGTTAAAATTCTGAACCTGGGAGCAAGTCAGTAGAATTCATTCTGACTGAGCATTATATGTAGAACTATTAACCATAATACTCACTGCATGTTAAAAATCTGGAACTGGGTTTCAGATTTGTACATTTTTCTCCTTAAGTATGAAATATATAACTTTTCTCCCATAGAGCATTTTAATCAGATTTGTTGTTATAATGATATGAAATGATTACTTACATTTTGACATAAAAATGGTGAATTATAAGTCAATATATGTAAGGGGCCACACTTTGAAAATATTTCATTATAAGCTGACAGTTTTGCATAGATTCCAATATTTAACAAAGTATTTGTTACACTGTTACATTGTTAAACAATGATTTTACCTTAATAACTAAATCAAATTTCTGATGAAAATCCCTGTTTATTGGTTTTAGAAGGCTGAGTTTAGCAGTGGTAGCATTCATACTGAAATATTGGGAATAATCTTCAGGAGTCCCTAGAAAAAGATAGTAAAGTTGATAATTAAGACCACAAAAAATCACTCTGGAGAATCACAACTTCATTTAAATCATGTTCATATCATTTGTCTACAAAGCAATCAAATTAATTCTGCTGTATTGTTTTTTAAAAGAATGAAATATGTATTTTGGACAATTTGCATACAAGTAATAATGTACCCTGATCATATCTTTTAATATAGGTTGCCTAGTTAGCAATATATATAGCAAAATATCTGATCATCAGCTTCTGTACTGAGCTATAGAAAGCAGGTTTAGAGAAAAATAATTGAATAATAACTTATTATTATTATTGTTGTTGTTGTTGTTGTTGTTGTTATTGTTGTTGTTGTTATTATTATTATTATTATTATTATTATTTTGCATTGATAGATAGTGTCTCTCCAGAGTTTTGAGTCAGGAATCTTTCCCAATCTGACCTGGATATATTATATTGATCTTTTTAAGGAAAACTTTAAATAAGCACTCATCCCGGTCTACTAATTTATTCATCAGCTGGTTACTTTTAATATAGTTATATATATATATATAATATTTATTGGTTTAGTCTCATAAGACACTCTGCAAGGCAGTGGTTCTCAACCTTCTTAATGCTGCGACCCTTTAATACAGTTCCTCATGTTGTGGTGACCCCCAACCATAAAATTATTTTTGTTGCTACTTCATAACTGTAATTTTGCTACTGTTATGAATCATAATGTAAATATCTGATATGCAGGATATATTTTCATTGTTACAAATTGAACATAATTAAAGCATAGTGATTAATCACAAAAACAATATGTAATTATATATTGTGAAATATTTATTTCTAATTACAAATAAATGAAATTTTGGCATTGTAGTCCAAGGACTTCAAGTCAGATTCCCTCTTCTTTTAAATATTGAAATGCAATTATTTGCAAAAAATAATGGTAATCCTGTGAATTATGTTGAATTTTTATCATTTTTGATGCTGACATTTGATCGGAATTGCAAATTAATGGTGGAGAATTGGGCCCCAAGCTTCTGTAAGGTAAGCTCATGCCTGGCAAGGAAAGATGAACCCATATAAAACTTCCAAGGGGAAAGATGGCAATTAATTAGCCCCCACTCCAATTTAACTGACGAGGACCACCATAATTTCTCCACAGCCTGCCAATGCTCGTTACTCTGGCATTTTGCATCCATGCCAGAGAAGTTTTTTCTCCAAGCAGGGAGAGGGAAGGATCTGCTCTCAAGAGTTAAGCCTAAGCGGCAGAAACCCCACATGCGGCTGCCCTTCATCCATGCTCCTTTCACTCCAGTGGGAGGAAAGGAGCTGAAGAATGTGATGCGAGAGCCCGGCCCCATCCTTTCCCGCTCACGGCATCCCTCCTTCCTGCCTGCACTCACACAACCCTCTTAACTTCAAGTGTCTCCGAAGAGAGTCAGCTCAAAGTT